CAGGGGATCTCGTAGTCGAGCAGTCTCGACTAGAGCTTTCTTACTTGTTATATATGTATATGTTTTATACTCTAATAACACAATAAAAATGTAATATATAAGAAATAATAAATTTATGATTAAAAATTTGTATACATATCAAATAGATTTTGCAAAATAAAATAATCTTTACAAATTTGAAAAAATTGTTTGAAGTGTTTATAAACATTTTTTATATTTTAATATATTTAAACAATTTTTATTGCTGTTACTTAAATTTTATAAAAAATATATTTTTTAAACTTATTATTATTACTTTATTTTGATTTTCTTTTATTAATACATAATCTATTGTGTAGTTTACATTATATTCTTACACGAATTTTCCAGAAATTACAGGGTATTTGTGTAGTTAGGTCCGTATATATGAGTGCTGTTAACATCTTATGTGGCCACGCCCACAGCCTGACTGGAGCCACAGCCTCATTAAGCGTCTTTAGTGTGTTTATATAATATAAATTAGCTTAATTTGAAAACATTTTTTGATGCCAAAACTTTGGCACTTGCTCGAGAGTGAGACAGCAGACAGACAATCAAAGAGAGAGAGAGAGACGTGAGGACAGAGTGTAATAAGGAGAGAGGAGCAGCTGCTTGGCAGTGTCTTTTGCTACCAGCCTGGCTAATTTATATGCCCGTTGGACATTCTCGAGTCGGCCAAAAAGTTGCGGCAACTTTTTGCCAAGTCGGCTGCGGCGTGTCTCCGATTCCTGTTGCGGGTTAATAAGACGACGACGAAGGCGGCCAACAAATTGCCAACATTACTCTTGCCAAAACTGGAGGGGGGCTGGCAGCCAGAAGGGAAACGATGCCTGCAAATAGACTTTTGAGTGTTGTACTTGGTTTGCTTGTTTTGTTGACTTTGAGCGGACTGCGCTGCTGAGACGTCGCGCGTGGGGAGGGGGAGCTGGGTGGGTGGCGGTGGGTCGCTGAAAGTGTCAAAAGCGCAGGCAATTAATTTGGCCTAATTAGGCTCTTGGCTGACTGCTTGGCTGCCGCTGCCACCTCCTTCAGCGTCTGCGTCTGCGATCTTGGCTGAGAATGTCATTTTTGTGGCTTGTCAAAGCGCCGTTAGCCAAGTCTAAAAACTCACCACGAACAATGGATTTTTGCATGTTGAGCGATTTATGGCTTAGCAAGTTTATTAGGGCTGCCCCAATCCTCAAAGATTTTTGGCCAACTCCACACAAAAGGCAATTCGAGTTACATTTGAGTAATTTATGAATCTTAGCAGGTATTAAGGGTATTCCACAAAGCCAAAGAGGTTAACTGGGCAAAGCCGACATTAAATTAAATATTTATACAGTGAGATTTATGGTGAAAATAAAGATAGGTAAATTAAGTGTAATATATGCGTATAAATATAAATAAAAATTTATAAAAAAAAAAAAAAAATGTATATAAATGTATATGAATGGCAATTATTTCTAACTTCAAATATATATGTTATAGTAGGAGGTAACCTGAAGCAAGCGTAGAGCTCTTGGTTTTGCTTTAGTAGTGGAAAGGGCATTCAGTTAAAATATGTTATGATACGTTCTGGTTTTATGACTGTTGGTTTTCCATAAATTGATTTTGAGCCATTCGAGCTGTAATCATATATAAAATACAAATTATAAGCTCATGAATGGTATACAAGAAATTATACTTTAATTTCAGGTCTTCAGCATTTATAGTTAATGAAACAAATAAATTCTACAGCTGGGCAGGCAGAAAAATAGGAGCATAGAAGCCGGACAATACGGCGAAAAAACTGGCTCACTATGAGTCTCGGAGACAGACATATAAATGGATAAATGGATAGTCAGACAGATATGCACAATATGGTCCAATATATGTTCTTTACAAATTCTTTAAAGAGGCATTACTTAAAAGAAAATGGAAATATAAATTTTGGCTCTTTAACTTAAACAAAAAAAAACTTACATAATTGTTATATAAATTTCAACTACATATATAAATTTATGGAAACTTTTTGGTAAGAAAACGGCAAATAAATATCAAATGTCCTTCAACAATTTTCTCGGCACAAAAATGGAAAAAGTTTGAGCATTTTGCACACTTTTGTTGCCATTAGCAGTCGAAGCAAAAGGCCGTTTCGGCAGCTTTCAATGGCCAATGATAATTTTTTGGCCAACTGCATTCGGCTGCGCTGGAAATGTGGTTTGGGCCAAGTCCGGCATCTCGAGCCACAACGTAAGAGTTTCAGATATATTTTTGTGCATCTGTGTGTGTGTGTGTGTGTGTGTGTGTGTGTGAGCCAGGGACCATAATTTGCTTAACAACTTTTTGGCCAACGCTTCGGTCGGCTTGGGCCCGTTGGCACTGGGCCAAATTCCTTTTCTGCAGCCGCTCAACACTCTCCGCGCCATTTATATAATAATATTGTGGCATAATTTATTGCCGGCCAAAAGTTGTTGTGCGGCCCTCTGCCCAATTGCCACTGTAATGTCGTCCCTGGCCAGAAAACTATGCACCGCAACGTCATAAATTTGTTATTAAATGTTGCTACGCTTATCGAAGGCACATTCCGAAACTGGACCCACGCCCGACTGGACGGCAGAGCAGACGTCAAATTGATTTTAAATGCACAATTTACAGGAAAAACCGTATTCATGCGGAATTTTGCACTTCAATTCGATTGAAATAAACATAGCGTATAGAAATGTGATATAGAGAGGTCAGATAAATATTATCATCATTCCGAAAAACTAACTAACAAAGTAGTTATTTTAAAAAGTATCTGATACTGAAGTATCTTTATGATATGAAAGTTTCTGGTATGTGAAAGATACTAGAGTACCAATGATAGTTTTTATATATCGCAAAGGTCTCAATGATAGGAGTGAACCATAACGATGCTAAGAACATCGAGGTATTTTCAAGATACTAAACATTAGGTATCTTAAGTAAATACTAGGTATTCCTGGATTATTTAATGGATAATAGATTATTAGTTTCAGTAATATTTTCAGTTTGTTTATAATTAGAAACGATTTCTATTATGATTATATTTTTGGATTACGGCAGTGGGGAACTCGTCGTTAAAGCAAGCGACATCACTGCTTAAAATGGTTAATGAGTATTTGCATACTAGAGTATAAATACATATATCTTAGTATTTGTTGAGCTTCCCTTTACTTGCAATAAAAAAGACTGATAGCCGATAGGCAGTTGAGGTGCGTTGAGCACAAATTGCCCCTAAACCCCCAAGCCTACAGACCCATCTTGTTGATAAGCAATGCGCTGGCATTGTTTACTGTTGTTGTTGTGGTTGTTTGTTGTTCCTCTTGCTCAAATTGAAACTGAAGCAGCGTGGCGAAGCTAATCGTGAGACAAACACACATACACACGCATAGACACCCACGCAGTCACCCACACCAACACACAGACACCAGCACTTGATTCAGCATGTGTACAAATACTCACGCTTAACAAGCTGCTCATTTTGCAAAATTTTCTACTCCAAAGATCTTCGAAACAAGCAAACAAATGAATAGAAAGATAAAAATGATTATGCAGAGAGGGAGAAAGGGAGAAAGGGGCGCTGGAACAGCTAACTACAAATTGTGAGTCAGAGAGACATAAAGATTGCAGCAGTGAAGAACACAGAGAGAGAGAGAGTGTGAGGGAGAAGGGAATAGACACGGGTAGCGGCACAACTTGTTTGGGCATACGAAAAGACAAAACACAAAGAAAACAAAAAAAAAACAATTTTAAACAGCAAAAACTTGTCATGTGAGAAAAAAAGCAAGAGTAGCAACGGAAAACAAAAACATTAATGAATGAGCTGGCGGGAGAGAGAGAGAGAGACAGAGAGCAGAGAGTGAGAGTGTGGGAGAGCAGACCAAAGACAAAGCTCTAGCCGCAATCGCTGTTGCTGCTGCTGCTGCCGCTGCTGCCAACAGGTGAGCGCAACGCAAAGCTAAAGCCGTTCGCTGGCTCAGTTGAACGTTTGCAGTCAAAGCCAGAGGCGGGTCGAGTGCGCTTGAACAGCGCTTGAAACGTGTGGGAACGGAACACATAAAGCAAAACGGTAAAAGGGCTTTGGCTGAGCTGAGCGCAAGTTGAGCGGCGAGCACGCCTTTAAGCCAAGCTAAGCTCGGCTTTTTGTTTTTGGGTGTGCCGAGGCAGTGCGACGAGAACGCGTGAGCGGCCAACACGTAAACGAAGCGCTCTATGCGCTGCGCAAAAAAAAAAAAAAAAACCAACAAAAAAAAAACATTTAAATAAAAGAAGAAGAAAAACTCAGTTAAAAATACACAGCGGCAGCGCTGCGGCAACAACTCAAGTGTGAATTGTTATTGAGGTTATGTAAGCGGCATAAAGCGCACTAACAAAACGCTAAATACAAATCGCATTCGCTCAGCCAGGCAAAACACGTTCAATTACAACAATTTCAGACACGCGTCAACATCGCGCATTCGCACATTCCTTCAAACTGCAAAAACACAAAAAGTAAACCTAATGGATCACGACGGCAAGGCACAGGCGCAAACGTCGGCTGCGACTGCGACGGCGACTGCGATGCCAGCGCATCCCCTGCAGGATGTGCCGCTGAATGATAACGGCAGCGATGTGACTGCAGTTGATGACGTACAACTGACGACCAAAAATTGGGTTAAATTCGACGACGAGGCAGACGGCAGTGAAAAAAATAATAACAGTAACAGTAACAGTGCCACACAGCAACAGCAACAACAACAACAGCAGCAAAACAAGTTAGCTCTGCCGCCACCGCCGCCGTCTGTGGTCAGCAGCAACAACAAGCGACGTGCGCGCTCGCGCAGTCCCAATGAGCTGGCCACAGCTGCAGCAAATCCAGCGCCTGTTCAGGTTAGTCGCTCTCTCTCTCTCTCTTCTTCTGCTCACGCTCTCTTTTTCATTCCGCTCTCTGGCACGCTCACTCTCTAAAACGCCGCTCTCACGCGCGTGAACGCAACGCAACGCATTGCGATACATTGGCACAGTATTCGTATGTTTCGTATGTTTTCATTACTCTCTTTCCCTCTCCGCTCGGCAAACACCACCGCCACTTCGTTCTCTACGCATAGGGCCGCTGTCAGCGCCTTATCACTGCGTTTCTTTAGGTTTTCGTTTGCCTAATGGAGTTGTAAGCAGCGCTGCTTCGTTCATTATGCTTTTGTGTCACGTTGCACACACACGCTTGACAAATGAAGTTAGGTTAGGGTCGCTGCCTGCAACAGGCCACTGCGGTGCCCAGAAAGGCCCGTTCGGGTGCAACATGCATTGATTACTCATCACCGTCAGGCGACACGTCATGCGCTCAGCTGCAAGGGGCTTGCTCATTAAGTTGAGGTGCACGCATGAATGGAATCTGAGTTTTCGTTGCATTCATGTGTACAGTCAGTACTAACTAACTGTACTTTGTATGACATTCCCTCATCTCCCTCTCTCTGTGAATAAGTAAATATATATGTAGCATGTATACAGATACATGTATATATATTTATATGTATTACGGTAGTAACGTTCTATCACTCAGCTATACAGCTCTAATAATTTAATTATTATTCAAGTGCTGAAATGACACTTGTTGATTTTTATGATGAATCTTTATTAAAATAATCAACAAATAAAATATAAATTGACCCATTCAAAGTGTACTAATTTTTTAAATATAAATTACAAAAAATACAAATGATATACATACATACATATATATATCAACCAAGCTGACTATGCTTAATAAATAAATAAAAATCATTGGCAAATAGCTATATAAACAATTCAGTCATGGAAATACGCCTGCTGGCAGGTGTAGCAAAATGTTTATTTGTTATTGTTGCTCACAGCTGTATATTTAACTCAATTACTTTTCTCCCTTATTGCCTTTTCAAGTTCTGTATCTGTTTGCTCTGCTTCTTCTGCTCTCGTATCAGCTCAGAGTGAGATAAAAACAAAAAATTAATATCAACACAATTCTGCAATTGTTCAAATATTTCAGCAGCTATATCTTATTTTATTTACCATGTTTATTATTATAAAAGGGTCAATATTTATTTGTTGCTTCTGTATTTATTTTCTCTTCTGTTTATCTCATTTCGCAATATGTCTCCGGCTTTTCGGTTAGACTAAATTACAAAACCAACCCAGACACGGACTGTCAACAGAGAGACGCAAATATGAATACGTGAGGGGAAAAACAAGAGCTCTGAATGCTTTTTTAGTAGTGCTGGAAATGGTTAATAAATTATTTTCAAAGAGGAAACTGTTTTTCGATTAGATTACAATCTATTTGTTTAAAATTCTGTATAAATATAGGAAACTAAACATGTATATACAGTGCCAGCAAAGCTGGGTATATTATGGGCTATACACTTTCGAAGTTCATTTATTGGCAATACAAATTTGTATTCAAGTGCAATTTATCGGGGTATAAAGGAAAATATACATATGTAATCTATTTGTATATATATATACGTACATAGAGAACACCTGTTTGTGGAAGTATTTAGACTACATATTAAGGTTAAGTGTTAGATATAATTTGAGTTCAAGTTGACTTATTAAAAATTATTTAAGGGTGAATTTGTTCAAAATATAATTTAAATTAATTATATTAAATTGAACAAGTGATTAAAACTAAAAAAAAAACCACACGAATTTATATTATATTATCAGAAGTAAGTGGTTTTCTATTGTAAAGAGCATTTCTTAGTCGTGCTACTCAAGTCGAATATGATTTTCTGTTTACATCCACTTATCAGATTAACTGCAGAACCGAATACCGAGCACATTTAAAAATTATGTACAATATAAAGCAAATATTTGAACTAAAGAATTTGTTTAGTTTTTAGAGTAACAAGTAAACAAATTATAATATATCATACACTACATAATATTTATGTACATAATGTACGTTACTATTCCTTGACCTTCAGAAACAGTGCATTAGATTTAGCCTAACGAACTTGAAGCTGGATAATTATGGCAAACAATTTATAGCACGCTAAAGATCAATTATAGCAAAGCTCGCTCGCCTATTACGCCACGTTTTTATTTCGTTTCTCTGCCTTTTAGAGCGCAGTACGCAGCTCTCCATATCCGCTGAGCTGCGTACGTGCAAAATAACAAATAACAATTTTCTGTTTTATTTTCTATTTCTGAGCTTCTTTTCTGTTGCTTTTTATAATTCTCGCCGCAAATCAATAGAATTGATTTTCTCTAGCATATTTGCATAATTCTCCCCGACTCAACTTTTGTGATTCTCTCCTCAGCTCTCTCTTGCATTTTCTTTTGGCATTTACCGTTTTCCAGTTGCTGTGTCTTAAGGCCAAGAACATTAACCCATTGTTGTCATACTTTACAGCGCTCGGCAGTTTCCTCAACGACAGCTGGGCCGACGCCATTGCCGGATGTGACGCCGGCTGTTTTGACAACTGAGAGCACCCACGTTAATCTGAATGCATCCGGCAGTGGCAGTGGCAGTGGCAGCGGCAGCAGTCCGCCCCGCCACCCACAGCAGCTAATAAACCAAAAAGCATCCTCGACTGCAGCCGGAGCTGCAGGAGCAGCGGCAGCAGTGACCGCTACTCATCCAAATGGCAGTGGTGCCATCGGCAGTAGCAGCAGCACCAGCAACAACAACAACAACAACAACAACATCAACAGCAGCAGCAGTGGCAATGCCAACAGCAAAAGCATCTCAATTCCAGTGGATCAAGCCTCCGGAATGCGCACAATTGAGTTGTCGACGGGTCGCATACGTGAGGGTTTCGGTAAGTAGAGCCCACAGCTATGAGCTATGAGCTATGATAAGGATAATGACGATGAGAGTGACATTTGCATAAGAGAAAGTATATCAGAGTTTCTATAAATGTCTCTTCAAATGAGGACACAAATCAGAAAAATAATGATTATAGTTAGCATAAAAGAGCTAATCTATCTATCTTTAATAGTTATACTATCTTAAATAGTTATATTATCTATTTAAAAGAGTTTTACTATATATCTTAAACTATCTATAAGATAGTTTAGATAAGATAGATAAGATAAAAAAAAGATTAAGAAATAAAATAAAATAAATTAAACAAAAACAAAGAAAATGCTATTAGATGAAAATATGCACAATTCAACACTTAAAAAAAAATAATAATAAATAAATATTAAATATTCAAAGGTGGAGTAAATAATAAAAAAAAGTATTATCATAATTTAAAAAATAAATTAATAAATCATAAAACTAAAACAATATACTCATTGAGTATAACAAATTTGAATCTTATAAATGAATTTGTTATAATGAAAAATTAATTGTTGTAAATTAGTTATCATAAAGGATCATAATCATGCAGCTAACAATAATGGCTAAATAGAAATAGTTATTCAAGCATGATGTTAAGAAATAATTGCTTTCAGGTTATTCTGCCCCTCGACTCCTGCCAAAATCTGCCCAGTTATGATTGGCAATTGTCGAAATTGGATTGAATTATCTAGAGAGTGAAGCGACAGCTGCTAATGCCACAATTCTCTCTCACTCACTTACACTCTCTCCCTCTCTCACTTACAGCTAATGGCGATGTGATTGTCACTCTGCTGCCGGCCAACACGAAATGGCCCTGGATAACGCCGGCCATATTTCGACCGGAGCTGGTGCCCGAGGAGCTGATGGCGCAGGGCCTGACGGTAAGCGAGCAGTCAATCAATCAGCCGTTGCCCGAGTCGGCTCTGACCTGTAGCCCCCGCTCTGTTCACTCTTTGCAGCTGACTGTGGAGGACTATGTGAATGCCATGGAGACGTTGGTCAATGACTATCGCTTTACGGTGTACAACATTTGCTATAAGCGCATTCTCGTCTGCTGGATACTGTTCGCGTTCGCCGTGCTGCTGGCGCTGCTCTTCTCGGGGCTGCAGGGCGTGGCGCTGTTCGCCTTGGGCGTCGGCTGGCTGTTCCTCAATGCGGCGGCCATATTCCTGTGCATGTGGCTGAAGCTGCGGCTGTCGCGCGGCCTGGAGAAGTGCTTGGCGCGCGTGAACAAGCAGTTGATGCGGCACAAGATATTGCTGGTGCTCGACGACCGGGGCCGCATCTCCTGTCACAAGGTCAACCTGTGCTTCATGTACTTCGATGCGACGCAGTGCGTCAGCTTCCTGAACGAATTCCTCGAGCACACCGAGCAGAATGGCGGCGAGGCCATCAAGGCGGGCTGGGAGGCCAAGCTGGATATTGATGTCGATGATATTGTCATCCAGGGCACGCAGCCGGTGCGTCTGTCCCGCAAACAGGTGAGTCTGCCTGGCCGCTTTGGATTTCCTGTTGTCGTAGTCGTAGTTGAGACTGATTCTACTCTTGCTTCTCTTTTACTCGCCGCCGCTTCAAACCATCTCTCTCTCTCTGTCTCTCTCGCGCGCTCTGTACATTGATCATGCATCATGCTCACACATTCTCTTTTTTGTCTCTCACGTGCACACACACACACACACACACACACACGCACACACACTGAACAAATGCCCACCACTCTCTCTAGGCCTTTGCCCAGGAGCTGTTTCTCAGCTATCTGCAGCGTTGGGGCAAGGACTTTCTGCGCCGCCGCCTCGATTGGACCGTTCAGGAGGCGGGCGTCCATGAGACACCACGACATCTGCAGTCATCGATCTGCCCCTGCCAGTACGAGGAGGAGCTGTTGCGCAACAAGATCAAGATCAGTCTGCAGCATCGCCAGTGCTGCGGCATCAACTGCGTGGGCTGCTGGCTGTAGGCTGTAGGCTGTATGCTGTAGGCGTGGCGCCGATGACGATCACAACTACTTCCACTGCTGTTTGTGTTTTATTCAATTTATTTGCGATTAAAAAAAGCTGTTGAAAACGAAGCCGCCATACTTTTACTTTATATCGAGAGAAGGAGAGTTTTCCTATACCTCTGTATATTTGGAATATTTCTGTTATTTGTTATAGATTTTTTTTTCAGCCAAAAAGTATGCAGCACGATTTGTGTACGTCTCCTCTCACATTTATTACTCATACGCACTGTCTAACCTGCACTCCGCACTCTTCACACCCGAAACTCTTGACTTTTTCCTAACTTGTTGTCTCTAATCCTCTATGTCAATATATATATACACAAATATACATATATGTACGTAAACCTAATCTACTCCTTAGGAGCGCGGCCTGCAGCTGTTTCTGCGCTATGGCTCGCGCTGGGGCATGGAGGCGCTGCGCGGCCTGGTGGATGTGACGCCGCTGGAGCCGGGCCGGCATTGCGGCCAATTCCAGTGCCCGTGCCAGTATATCAAGGAGCATTTGCAGTGCAAACCGCGAGGCAAGTTCAAGTGTTGCAATTTTGTACATTGGGTGTTGGCATGTGAGCGCTACGATTACTAAAACGAAAATCAAAATCAAAACAAAACGAAATATGCTTAAATGTTGACATGTGTATGTATGTGTGTGTATATATACTATGTAAGCATGTGCTTTTGTTGTTCTAATGAACCCGATTCATGCAGGTATACGTTTGAGCTAATTAATACCAAATCAGCTTCGTGCTATCCTTGCTAAATACCTAAAAAATACCAAACAATGTTGCTTTGCTTTAAATGAAATGCCTTTCCCGATGCAACGAATGAAAAAAGAAATTATCGAAAATTTCTCTCGTTTCAGATGTTAGTCCCTAAGTCAAGGTAATAATTTTGGTAGTTTTTGGTATTCTAGATACAGATACATATAATACTATGTATTGAAATTTAAATTTTACATTTTATCGACTGCGACTTCTTTATATTTATATAAAATAACCCATTTTAACCTAGCTCGTACTTGCAATTCTGTTTCACTTAATAAACTATAAATATATACGTTATATATTTCTTTTTATGAAACATTTTTAAACACAGTTGACATAAACAGCATGGGCCAGGTAGTTTGGACACGTTTTTCCCCCTTTGGCAATTTTGTATGATTTATTATATACACTGAATATATTTATACATATATAGACAACTACTAAGCCATTTCGATTTTATTAAACTTTAAAGAATTTTTTAAATTTTGCTTACTCCTCATTCTGTATTTAGACTTGTTTTTCTTTTATGAAATTAAACTGTAAACTGAATTTATTCTGGTGTCATTTATAATAAATTTTTTTGTCATTCAATGTTTTTATATCTATTTATTTTTATACAATTTTAATGGTTACTGTTGTTTATGTTTCAGTTTCTTTGTGTGTTTGACTTTGTCATTTTTATGTATTTTTGGGTGTTTTCTAATCGAACGCCCTTTTCAGGTTATCCATGTGCTTGCATTGTCTATGGTTCGGATCCCAGTTTTCAATATCGTTATTAGTATTAACAGACGTTCAATATATACATTGCGATTCGTTAATCATTTAACTACATTATTTAATAACTCTTCAAACATTGTGCAATTCAGTTTCTGACACGTGTTGAATGCTTTTTAAATTCAATAAAATTTATGAAAATGTTTTAATGTGAGTTATTTATAATCTGGTACAGTAGCATAAAACTACAAAAATATAACAAAATATATAAAAATATAAAGTACACAAAATAATACAAAATTCAATATATATTCATGAAAAATATTTTATGCTTAACATTTTTTCTTTTTAATTTGGAGTACTTCGGATGGAGCTCTCTCTAAACAGCTTACAGAGTTTATAGTGAGAAATAAAATAATAATAATTATAAAAATTAAAATAACATATATATAAATAGTGTACAAAATATATAAAATTCATACATATAAATATAATGAAATTATAAACATTAGCTTAAATAAATTAACGTCTATCTAAATCAGAATTGAACACGGCTCTTATAATCACTTTAAAAAACTTCAAAGAAGAAATATATTTTAATGCCTTAAAGTAATTTCTTAGAATTACAATATATCATAAAATAAAAAATATAAAAGCGAAACAATTACAAGCTATACAACAAAAAGAGTTTGGCTAAAATGATATGTTTGTATGTGTGCCATTTGCAGTTTTCCACAATTTGCCACAATTACTGTATTATTTTTTATAGCATAATTCAACTTTACGTTTTGCCGCATTTAAGCCACGTTTCATGTTGGTAACAAATTTGTGAACAACTTTGTTGGCCATTTTCGTATTCGTTTGCGTCATTTGTTGTTGTTGTTGCTGCTGCCACATTCGCCTCGTTTTGTGTTGCATGTGTAATGAGTCATTAACATGGTGCAGTGGAAAAGTTTAAGTTTTCATAAATAAAAAACTATATACTTTAATTTCATTTATTTACTTTTTTGTTTTGATATTTCTGCATTCCAAATTAGGTGCCAGGCGATTTTATTTATGTTGAAAACAGTTGAAAGAACAAAAATGTACTATAAGTTGAAAATGAGTTTTCCTTGGATGTGAAATATATTGAAATATATGGTTACATATGTCCATTTAGTTAAATATTAGAACTGACTTTTTAGCCAACTAGAAAATAACTATATATGTGTCATTATAGTAGTATAACTAAGTGAGTCCATGATATACTTAAAGACAAATTATTACTAACAAAATGCATATTTTATTGGCTTAACATTATATTTAAAATTTAATTTCGTAGTGTATTATCTGTTAAAAAAATGTATGTCTATTAGAGCAAATAAATATGTTTGTAAATATAAAACAAAAATATATAAATATATACATATTTGTTATTTAATTCAAAAAAAAAAAAAAATACATAGGAAGTTATTTTAAAAATAAATATACATACAAAATTTTAATAAAAATACAATTTTTACATTTTCTTTTATGTTAAAGTGGATGAACTATTTTTCTTTATAAAAATAATAAATATATTGAAAATTCCAACTCAAAATTTTAGTATACATTTGTATATGTATCATGTCTATATTAATATGTAGTCACATTGTTTCATACTTTATTATTTTAAAGTAAATCAATTATCTAGTGTTAAGGAAAGTTAAGTTATTCGTAAAATATGAGTGAAGAATAGTTCGAATTATTTTTAATTAAAATGAATGTTTATTATAATGAATAATTAGGCATTTGCATCGCTGCCCTTATACAATTCATTCAAAAAATTCATTCAACTATGAACTTCGTGAGCAATAATCAAAAGGAAAAGGTTCCATGGCAATCGAACAGCATTTGATTGTTGTGCTCAACTATTTGCCAAAAAAGTAAAATGCGATTTTACGCTCTAATAAAATAAGCGCCGAGAACTTTTGTGAAAGCGTGTAAGAAGAATGCACCATTAAATGTTGTTAAACTTCATTAAACTCGGGGCGAAGCTTCAAGCAATTTGTTTTGCCAACTGCACTTCACATAGCTGAGCCAAAAAAAAAGAAAAAAAAACCAACAGCAACAACTTCAAAATTGGACTAGAAAATAAGGGAAACTAGACACCACAACGTGTAAACTAATCGCAAACAAACAAAAGCGCCCGCACCCACACACACATACATATATATATACATATACACAGTGAGTGCCAAAAGTGAAGGCTCATCAAAGTTTTTGGCACTTTTCTCTTTCTCTTTTTCAATGTTTTTTTTGGAAATGCAATTCAATTGCACGATTTTCATTTGAATTACAGCAATCGACTGCGCTAACCTGCGGTTACAGCTAGGGGCATGTGGGCGTGGCAAATGCCGAAAAACAAACATGCGAAATTTCAACGGAACACCTGTGCCCCTACTTATGCACCTGGTTTACAATTTTCAATTAGGTGAGGGTATACAAAAGTGCATAAAATTAGTTTTAAGTGCATATTAGAGTAAACTATTAGCTAGCTAAACATTGGAAGAGCTCCACGGCTGGGAACGATCGAGTGCGGGGAAGAAACGTAGTAATTATACCATAACGAACTATAGGTAAATATTAGGATTAAAGAGGGGTAAATGAGCCCACATCAATAGAGTGCCTTACAGCACTGTTATCCATAAGAGTAGATATATCAGATATGTATAGATATATAGGTAAGTATAAGATATGAGTAAGTGATAGAGTGCTGTACAACACTGTTATCTATAAAAGTTGACTCATAATACATATTATGTACATATAAAAAACATGTTCTTATGTCTAATACCAAAGAGTAGTATTCATTCATATCACTTTAATATATAATAATATAATATAAAATAACTACTTGAATATTTACACTACATATATTATTTAAACAATGGCTGTGGTAGACACAAATGTTTTGCAACACTGTTTTTAATATCAGGCAATAATTTGTCATAATTACCATTATAACATTAATCTATTATAGATTAGAATTAATATTAAATTAAAACTAACTTTCTTATATAATAATTATTTTTAGACTTCCTATAATTTAAGGGTTTTGCAACGCAAACGCAGCCTACAGGATGTGTCAGATAACTTATCTGTTATCTTCATCTGCTTTGCCATCAAATACTTGCGCAAAGGGCATATAAATCTCTTCATTATTCGATTGTAAATTTGCAAATTTTTACCATCTCTTTTCTTTCTTTATTTTTTTGGGGGAGGGCATATCATTGTTTCCATAGCTGTTGTTGACGCTGCTGCCGCTGTTTTTGCATTTATTTTGCGGCTAAAACTTTAATTGAGTTTTAAACCATTTTGCTGGCTGTTTGGGGCCAGCGCCGCAGCGAGATTTGTTTATACTGCGTGTTTGTTTATGTATGTATGTAAGTATGTGTGTGTGTGTGTGTGTGTGTGTGTGTGTGGAGCGAGTGTGTGTTAAAAAACTGGCTTATTGTTTGAGAGGATCTGCTGTTGCTTCAACTACAGCTGGCGCTCTTGTTGGACCTTGTGGGCCGTGCACTGGGCAGCGCTTGAGTGATGAGTTTTTTCGCCGAATTGACTTTTTTTTACTGTTCTTGTTGTTGTTGCTGCTAGTTGGTGGTGTGAGTGCGGCCAAAGGTTTTGCTGGTACCACTTTGGCTGCACTTTAAACATTTTAAATGTGTTTTGTTTCACGCCCAAATAGCAGAAATTCGTTGTATTAAGTCTGTTTTTGTTTTTCGGTGAGTGCTGCAGCTGGTTGCGCTTCCATAAGCTGCTGTTGCTGCTGCTGCTGTGAGTCTGCTGCAGGTAACGCATACGCCCCGTGCACCAAACAAATTACAGCCATTTAAGTGATTTTCGCTAATGTTATTTGGGGCGTTGGCGCAAAAAGTTGCATACTAAGCGCATTTTGTTGCCTTTGTTGGGTTTATTACGGCCGCCAGCAGCGCATAGATGTACGTGTGTGTCTGTGAGTGTGTGCCGAGAACTTTTGCTTTATTACGTGAGTTTCCGTGCAGTTTCAGTGATACACTAAATTGTGTGCAGAAAGTTTTATCTCTATGGGCTCTGCACTAAACTTATTGTTAGTTAATGCAATCAGACAATTGAAAGGACAGGCGCTTGCATTGTACGTTGAGGGTATTTCCCAGTCGTGCATGAACTATTAAATTATCACACACTTGGTCATACCTCCAGCTGTGCTCATGAATATAGGAGTATGGGTCAGCACTATATAATTACTCTTCTTTAAATTTATTTATCCAAAAGGTTTTCGCAACTTCAAGGGCATTTACGCCTTTTACCTCTTTCACTCATTTGAATACTTGCAGAGCAAGAACAAATTTAGTGAGCTTGCAATACACATGTGAGCGAAGAGAATGCGAGAGCCATCACGACGCGTTCCACATTATG